TACAGTCGACAGTCGTTATAATGCAAACTTTAAATTGGACCAATCAGTGTCCGCTATTCATGACAGTCCGCCATATTTTTGAGATCAGTGAGGATGACAACCCACCGAACCACCGAACCACTCACGGTAACCCACGCCCGCGCTCATTGATGAACTTTGGACTTGGCTAATGCTTTCGTTTCCCCGGGTGTAAATAGCCGGGGGGGGGGGGAATTAGTACCCTCGCACCGCCGTCGGCTCGGGGATTATATAAACAATAATAATACTTGAATGAATCATTGGACATGTAGAATTTAATAATAATTCCATATATAGAAATATTAAGTCAGTTTTTGTCCCAAATATTATTTTAACGCAATAATGACATCTTCAAGGCTACGCCTATTGCAAAACAACTGAACAATCTGCTGGTGCTTGATGTCCAGAGAGTTTCAGCCCGGGCTGAAATTTCAGCCTGGTTTGAGCTGCCCAAGCTGAAATTTCAGCCCGAGCTGAAACTCAGCCAGGCAGCATGTAATCGCAAATAATTTCAGCCCGGCAGCATGTAATCGCAAATAATTTCAGCCCGAGCTAAAAAAACAACCGTTTTTAAAAATGGCTTTATTTTGCGTGTTTGTTTCATTTTTATTAAATACTTTACATATAACCACAGTCTCACACAAGTCAAATAGTCGACTAATCAGCGTCTGATCGCTTCAAAGAAACATAACAGGCTTATTGTCTTATTTCATGACACTCAAATTATTTCAGCCTCACTCTGACTAAAATCTGCCCAGGCTCAAACTGCTCATGTAATCATGATGCAATTTCAGCTCGTTTAACCGGGCTGAAACTCAGACCGCGGTGAAAACTCTCCATGTAATCAGCCCCTAAGATTGTACTCAGTCAGAACTGCAAAACTATATGTCTATATAATACAATTGCGAGCATTATCAAAAAATATAGTGTACTCTGAGACTGAGTGAGTACTTTAGTGACAGTCAGGTGAATATATAAATGTAGGCTGGTAGGATTATTTCATATTTCATATTTGGACATATCGCAGAGATATATTTTTACAGACCGTCATACCTTTTACAAAAGTCGGTTGACAACTTGACATGTTATTTATACATGTAACTGCTGGTAAGTTAATATGTGCAGACAACAATGGCAGATTGCATTTATTTTCCGCACAGGGAAGGGGGGGTTGAGGACATCTTTTTACCAGGTAAATTGTGACCCCCTGGAATTCAGTTTATATACCCCTCCCTGGAATTTCCTAGGAATTTATTGCTAGATACCCCTGGAAAATGGCTTTAATTGCAGACCATCCCCTGGATTTTGGACTCTAATCACCCCATCCCCTGGATTTCTGTAGTCTTTTTCACCCCTCTCCCTGGATTTTCCAAGGCCTTTCTTACACCCCTCTCCTGGATTTTCCATTGTCCGCAACCCCCCCCTGTGCGGAAAATAGATGCGATCTGCCAATCCACACTGGGTTGCTATAGGAATATCTTTGCACAAGTCAGACAATTTTACGATACTGCTCAATTGATGTTGCCAAAATAACAATCACTGTGATTATTTATCCCTTAGAAGTACGATGTTCCATCAAGCCTACGATCAAGCTCAATCAGATTTTTTTTATAATACAAACTGATATTTACTATTCGTACAGCAACGTGTTTACAGATTGTCATGGTCCAGGGTGCTGTTCACCAGTTTCGACTAGTGTATTCGGAAAGTTAAATCGCGATATGGAGTATGTTATATTTTTTAAACTTTCTGTGACGTCAAAAAACGTCATAAATCTGATCATCTTTCCGTTTGTATAAACATCCCAAAATTGACTTCTTGGCTGCATAGTCATTCGCGAACCGGAAACGGACTGGTGAAGAATAGTGTGCTGCCTTCGGCAGCAACTACTGCATCTGCCTAACTGCCAAAATTCTCTCGGCGTACTTTTAAATCCTTATTTTGTACTAACTTTTTCTGTATGTTATTCTCAACTAATAACACTTTCTTTTGTTGCCATAACATATGTTCAATGATTTAGAGAAGTCATGGTCATCGTTCAAAATGCCAAAAGCAGTTCAGTACTAAGCGAAAATCTCAGAACAAGCGATCTCAAACCATACCAGGCAAACACAAAAGATCCTTATGTTACTGCTTATTTAAAAGCGGATGTTTTGCCTTTGGTTTTCGTGATTGGTGATGGCAAAGACTACAATTCTGAAAAAGAAAAATATTCTAACCAACCTCTCAAACAAAATTCAAGTTACATTGTGTTCCTGAGATATTTTGAAAGTGAGGTATGAGATGGGGCTTATTCGGGTAATACATGTACATTTCTCCGATGATAATGCGAAGAAAATAAAATAACTTAACTATTATACTTCCGTTTAGGGCTCATACTACTCGACAAAATGGAGTGGCAATGTTAGAACAATGATAAGAGCTCCAGGTAAGTTATCCCTATTTACTTAACTTATTCAATATCTTTTTTCATTACATAAATTGCTCACTACCTATAGAAAACTTTCAATGCAAGAATATGCATTGACAAATGATCATTTAGAGAAAAATTCCAAACTTTGTGAATATGTTAATAGTCACTTCACTTGATATACGATATTGCATGTATACGAAGGGTCGTCAAACTCACTCGAAAATGTTCTTGAGTGTGTATTTCATAATTTCCATACTCCCAGCGCAAGCAGAAAGTGATATTGTCTGCCGCGGCTGGGTCTTGAACACGCGACCTTCGATTAATGCAGTTTTGTGCGTTTAAAATTGGAAATACCATAGGCGAATTTACCTTTGTTTCGAGCTTTGTTTTCCCTGACGCTTTATAAAATTTGCTTTTGTTGGTGTTTATGCCTGTTTACTATTTGAGAAATTTTAAAAAAATTTAACTGGGCTTATATACTTTCGTAAGCGATTTTTGATGGGCCTATACAAGGGGGGGGGGGGCTT